TTCAGTGCTTCAGAAGTACGTTCGCTGGTAAATTAATGAAATTACTGTATTTTTTTTACTTTTACACACATTAGCCGACCTCTCGTGAATCTAGTCTGTAGTTATATTTAATGTAGCCAGTTTTAGTAAATGTTTATTGGAAGATAATAGGTTAATTGCAGCGATAGCTTGTGACCAACACTTCACTAACGTTAGCTAACTGGTAACCTGATGTATATAATATAAAATATTTTTAATAATATTTTATATATATATATATATATATATATAACCTATATATAATAGTATATACACACACACAATTCATTTATTTAAATGGGTTACTTAGGGAGGGTTATGCATGTGCTTATATGTATTTAGGAACATAGTTAATTCACTTATTAACTATCTCTCCGGTTTAATTTTATGAAGAATATTTTTCGGTTGAATATTTACCAAACATTGCTGTATAGTTGCTTTCTACGTTATGGGAGCAGTCTATTTCCCTCCTAAATCATTTATTTGTACATGCACAGCGTAATTATTTATATTTTGTGTTGGTTGGAATTCTGAACGGACCGCAGACCTCTTTGCGTGATCACGAAGCGGAATTTATAAGCAAGATCACGGGAATCAATAGCCTAATACAGCCCAGTTGTGCTAAAATAAATATCATGAGACGTCCATCATCAGATGAATGACATGGAAAAGTTAAGTTAGAGCCGCTAAAGCCAGTACTACCCATGCGAACATGAACACTAAGCTTTTCCCTCCAAAAAAATAGCCTAAAACTTATCTAAGTTGTCACCCTGCCTCTCCAAATGCAAAACTGACATTAACAAAATGCAATAACAGCTTAAAAAGTACTTGGGTGTGTGTTTTATTTTATATTTACCGTTTAATAATCCAATCGCTGCTGTCTGTCCATAGAAGAACATGACAGCCCGCGTGTGTTTTGGAACTAATGGGGCTTACATGAACCACGTGACAGCCGTCGCGGCGACATCAAAGCGTGTCGCAACTCTTTCTCTCTATGGCTCTGGATCACGCTAAAGCAGCTTTTGTGGATGATTCATGTTTTCATTGCGGTAACATGACCATCCTGACCTCTCGTGCGGTCGAGACTCCATGAGCTCACTAGAGCGAGGGGTGGTACTTCAGCGGGTGACCTGAGGGTGACAGTGTGGAACAAAGCGCCGGCGATAATTCCTCGGCCCATCCCCCCCCCCCCCCCCCCCCCCCTTCGTGCAGCAACCCCTGAGTTATCCAGATGAAACCCCATGTCCCGGTCAGAGGTCGTCCGTATCCGTCGCAGCATCTCGAGGCGGGAGATGATGATGATTCGGCTGTGCTGCCACCTTCGGGCGTGCCAGCATTGTCCGAGTCAGATCCCGAGATGACAGCCATGCTCTCTCGGGCAGCCGTGTGCATCGGGATACAGTCGAATCCTCTGCCCTGTCCCGAGCGCTCGCAGTTGGACGATTGATTTTTGGGTGCTGTGGGCTAGAGACGCGCGGTTGGCGGTTATAGCCGCGGATTGGGTGGATGACGGGACGAATTTTTTTTTTTTTATTAAATTCGGGCGGGTGGCGGGCGGTTGAACCAATCAAATGAAAAATATACATTGTTAAATATTGTTATCTGACTATACCTACATCCAAAAAAAAAAATGATCGAGCACACTTTGAAACAGTCAAATTTTCATCAGCTAGTCGAGTCTATGCAGAGACTGCTTGTTCTTATCAGAGATGGCAACGCCGGCGAAGGAGGTAGCTACGTGACAAACTCAAAAAAAGGAGAATTAAAAACAAAGGAAATAGAAGGTCAGAAAAGTGTTGCCTGGAATAAGTTGTGCGCTCTCTTGAAATGCGCCCGTTCGATATTGTTTCTGGTAAAGGATTCCACCAAGTGGCCCAGACGTTGATTGACATTGGAGCTAAGTTCGGTGCTGTTGACGCTGGACGAGCCTGTTCTGAAGACTCCCGTTAATTTTGAATGCACGGGAAGAGAGCGGAGAGCGCGTCTTTTTCAGGCACAGTGCAATTCATTTTATACCATCAACAGGCCTAGCAATCATATAATAAACTATAGAGCCTCGATATTAAAGAAACGCCGAAGTCACTCCTAGGCTTTTTCGTTGGTGCGCCATCAGCTATGCCTACAAAAGACAGATGAAATCTAATATTAATAATTGTTCCATGTCGGTATACACAGCCTTATATTTTATAATGAAAAAAAGCCTACACAATCAAGATAGACTATTTACTTTTTAGCCTATTTATTAAATCCAGGAAATTGGTTAATGAAACATGGATTAAAATGAAGATACAATTAATAGAAAACGAAATTCGCTTTAAAGAAAGGCTTTGTGCTTTTTTGAGGCCTCTGTGAAAGTTTGAAAGTCTTTTAGTGCCGCTTTCTGAGGGTTCGCGTCCGTAATGGAGAACTGTCACGTAACATTGTTGGCGCCCCATACAATAGCAGCATGTTGAAATTATGTGCCAAAATGCGTTTTCTATTAGGCTACAATGAAAATATTGTACAATAGCCTATCAGATAAGGTCAGGTTTGCCGAAGTGTGTTTAATTTAGGCTATTTATTTATTTTTGTCCCTGTGCGCCGATCGGAGAGGAGTTCACTGCTGATATGCTGAGAGCTTTCTAGTCTCGCGGCTGTCATCAGCAGCGCCTTGTATCGCCCAATCAGGGGATGGCGGGCGGGTGCGGTTTTGAAAATTGGTAAAAAACGTTGGTGCGGATGGATGGCGGACGGATGATGAGTTTTGTGATGCAGTTGCGGATGAAATAATAGCCCATCCGCGCATCTCTACTGTGGGCATCCGCCCCCAATACCTTTCTTTCCTGAGGTGCATGAGGAGGTCACGAGGAGATCGTTTGGCAACCTTCTCCGCTTTTCCTCCCCTTGATGAGGCCGTGGCCAATGGGTACACTGGGGTTCCCCTGGTGGAACGCTCTGTTGCGATGCACCTGTGTCCTCAGAGCGCTTCCTCCTGTGGTGCCCCAAAGCACCCCTCCAAAGCCTGTAGGTTTTCGTCGACCCTTTACACTTTGAACTGTTTCATGTCTTCTCTAATCAAGTCCAAAAACTCTGTCTCGCCGCCTTTGTGGTGCTGGTGCTGATGCTGGTGCTGTTGGCTGCTCCTCTTCTTGGTCACACACTGCTGAACTCTGCCCTGGTGTGTCCTCAGGGATGGAGGCAATTAGGACAGGAGGGTTGGTGGAGTGGCTCTGTCCCAACACCTCATCCATGAGGACAAACCAGGCCCAAGTTTCAGCGGTGGGTTTCCCACTCACACCCTCACCTGTCCCAGGACTTGCAAGAGCAAATAAAGCATGCCTGTAAAAGGGGAGCTCACCCCAAAATGAAAATTCTGTCAGTAATTAATCACCCTCATGTTTCAGTGTTTCCCCTAGAAATTTTTCCAGCAACGGTGCTGTTACGTGCCGGAGGTTGTTACCAAGCCGGGGTCCGGGGGCTTGCACCTCCGGAAGAAGTTTTTTAAATAACCCCTTAAACTATGACTTCTGGACAGTTTTGTGGATAGAAATGGACATTTTGAGACATACAAATATGACATATCATCAACAGACTCAAGGCATGTTTATAGAGCTGGTAAGTCCCGCCCATCCGTAAAACTCCAAGTGGACCTCTAGGTTGAAAAAGCGTCAATGCAAGTGAACGAGAGAAAATAATTATTTTCTGATCCCGTTTGAATTGTGCCATGAATGTGAACATATGTTGTCTGTGAATTTTTTATATAATTTCTCATGTAACAAGTTTGACAGTATATTGTATGATTCTTTGGCTAGCAGACATAACGAGAAAGACTACACGTCGCATATGTGATGTCACCGCATAACACATTTTCCCTCCACAAATCACGGTGCGATAATCTAAGGAATTAGATTGAGATGCCTGTGTGTTTTGTACCCAAATGTCACCATTCAAACAAAGGCATGTTTAGCGGGATCCGTGTGCTAGTGGTGGTGACGTATATCAAATGCGTCGAAAGCAGTGAAGAGTTGTAGTCCACAAAGTGCTCTCACACAAAGTCTAACCATATGAAAATTCTACCCGCTAAATTGTAGCATTCTTTACACAAATTTATATAAAAAATTCACAGACAACATATGTTCACATTCATTGCAAAATTCAAACGGGATTAGAAAATAATTATTTTCTCTCATTCACTTGCATTGACGATTTTTCAACCTAGAGGTCCAGCGGGGTAAGCGGAAGGGGCGGGACTTACCAGCTCTATTGCAGCACGTACATTGAACTGGTCACAAACAGAAACCTTCATTTTATAATTTTAGACAGGATTATTATTGTTTTTCTTTTGTGTTAATGTTCTTGATGGGGAAAAATGAAACGGCATGAAATGAAAATATTATTTAAATTTACTAATACATTTTTAAAATCCAAAGTTTTTTCTGTTAACATTATTTAATGCACAATGAATGAAGTGCTAATAAAGTATCTAATAAATGTATCCAATACATTTATTTTTATGAAGTTTGTTGTTTAATATATTGTGTCCTCCTGATGTCTCAAATATATCATGGAATTGTTTCTAAACGACTATTTGAGCAAAACATTTGCACTGAATAATCTCGAGTGATTGTAAGTGTGATGATCATCTGCTAAATGAGCAACAACGACCACAATTCACTCCTTCAGTCAGTGAAGCTCCCACAGCCGTTCATGAGAGTTTAAATGCTGGGGAATATTCCCATCTTCCCACAGGAGAAGAAGAAGCAAGCAGGAGGAATTACTCCAGGAGAAACTACGGACATACTATTGTAAAGATGGAGATTAAGGAAGAGCCCTGCAGAATAAAAGATGAAGATACAGAGGAACAAATAGGTTGGTGTTTTCCTTCATTCTCTTTAATGACTGATGAGAAACATTAAGATGAAAACTGAAAAAAAGGACTAAATGTTTTGCTTTATTGTGACTCACCTAGTATATTTATTGTTGTTCTCATTTCTCCTTTATTTGCATTTTGAACATTTGATATGTTGATTTTGGACCCGATGGAAGTGAATGAAGACAAACAACATCAGTTTCAAAAACCTCAGCATTTCAAAAATGAAGATGGAAACACAGTCGTTCAACAGACCGAAAAGTGTTTCACACAAAAACGAGCTCGAAAAAGTGGAGAAGGATCTTTCACCTGCTCTGAGTGTGGAAAGACTTGCACACAAAAATCAGGCCTTGAGAGACACATGAGAATTCACACTGGAGAAAAGCCTTATACATGCACTCAGTGTGGAAAGAGTTTCACTCAGAGCAGTAATCTCAGAGATCATCTGCGCCGTCACTCTGGAGTGAGATCATTCAGCTGTGATCAGTGTGATAAAACATTTGTTGTGGAATCAAACTTAAAAAAACACCTTATAGTTCATGCTGCTGTGAAGCCTCACTTTTGTTCTGTATGTGGAAAGAGTTTTTCACTACTACAGACTTTTAAAAAACATGAGCAAATTCATACTGGTGTGAGACCTTATGTGTGCTCTGACTGTGGGAAGACCTTCACTGTATCCAGTGCCTTAAAATCACACCAGAGAATTCATACTGGAGAGAAACCGTACAAGTGTTCACACTGTGGAAAGAGATTCTCTCAGTCAGGACACCTGAAAGCTCATGAGAGAGTTCATACTGGTGAGAAACCTTATATGTGCTTTGACTGTGGGAAGACCTTCACTACAAAACGCCGCTTAAAAACACACAAGAGAGTTCATACTGGAGAGAAGCCGTACCAGTGCTCTTCATGTGGGAAGAGTTTCACCCGATTATTTAGTCAACAATCTCATGAGAAAAAGCATTGCCTGAAGTCGTTTAAGTGAGCAAAGTTCACATACACATTACAAATATTGTACTTGCAAATAAATTGACATTCAGATTGTTTTAATAGAGTGATTTAGCCTGCGAAAACCCAGACAACTTCCAGCAAATTTAGATTTGCTCTGAAAGTTAGTCTGGCAAAGCAACATGACATCATGACTTTGCGTAAACATACACGCCACTTTCAAGTCAAGTGGCGTGTTATCTATACGCATTTTGAGCTATCCGCGTGTATGTCCACGCCGAAATCTTTTGCGTGTATGTCTACGCCATTAAATGTCCGAGTGATTCCGCGTGTATGTGTACGCCGTTAAATGTCCGAGCGAAACGAAGCAAAATCTATATCTACATCTGTGGAGCGATATTTCTTTTCCTAGGATGGTAGGAGAAGACTCATAAATGGTATTAACCCCAGTGACGGGTAGGTTTAGGGACGGGGTTGGGGTCGGTCATATATTTATATATACATAATACAGTAATATAACGTTAAGTCAACGGCGTTGATAAACACGCTGAAAAGCGATTATGCGTGTTGATAGCACGCCAAAAATGAAAATACGAATTGGCGTGTCATACATACGCCATTTCATGAGATCAGTCTGGGCAAAGAGCTCATTCAAGCCCATTTCCAATCCGCCGAAATCGCGGCACCAATCAGAAACGTTTTTGAAGCAGATTTTGTAGCCTACATTACAAAGATGGATGCCGCCGTCGAACATCACTCGTTCGAATCAGCTATCGCGTCTGTTTTAAGCGATTTAAACGTTTCCTTTTTGTTAAAAACCGAGGAAAGAACAACACTCGGAGATGTGTCTCCGCCGCTCTGCATACGTCATCTCCTTCATCGCTCTGATTGGTTTTAGGTCTATCCGCGACGTCCGTTGGTGACGCCCCTCTGGAAATGATTTGTCTATGACGCTTTGCCAGACCATAACTCAGTTACAACTGAGAATGGTCTGGTTTTAACCAGGCTAAGAGTGATTAAATCTAAGTTCTAAATTAGTAGTGAAGTTTGAATCTGGCAGAGATGTATAAAGTACTAGAGACCCAGACTTGAGTAAATGTCAGGGCCGGCGCTAGCTATAGGCAGAGCAGGCGATTGCCTCGGGCTTTGAGGAGGGGCCTCCATAACCGTAACATCCCCTATACTAGAAATACTAGCCTCATTGTTCATTGGATATTGTTGAATTGTCACTCATCTGCAGTTAAACCAATTAATGTTTCCGTTTCAAAGCGGGCCGGCTTCTAAAGTTTGTGCGGACGCATCCATTAGGTGCTGCGAAGCAAAAGCCTAAATAGGCACGCAAAGAAGCACAGCTCGTAATGCAGGTGTGTGAGTTGTCGTCATCTATTTTGGAGTGATTGCAATGTATTCTAAATATAAACTTGTACTGTAGATCAGCGTCATTTCTGGAAAAATCATTCACCGCTTTATTACGAGTTTAAAAGAGCGCGAGCGTCATTAACGTGCCCAGACGCGACGCTTTGAAATTGTGCGTAGAATGAATAACATCGCGTCGGGAGCTGACTTAAAAACGCTACAAAAGTAAAAGTCAAGACGTTTGTATTCAAAGTTAAAAAGCCAACACACTACAACATTTTTAAATGTTTCAAATAAAGGATCTCATGGGTCTATCTTCTAAATTCTGCTGATGATTAGATTATACCCTGACATCATAGCCTACTTACGCCAATAATATCAGTTTAGAATTTTTTTTTCTAATCAGTAGCGATCGTGTTTTTCTCTTCACTTGATTTGTGTATAGCATATTTAAGGTAACTAACAATGCAATGTTAATAATATGAAAATATCTGCAGTGCAGATATTCTCATATTATTCTGCAGCCAATATTGATTAAATGGGAGGGAAAAATCCTTACTTAAGCACATATGTTCATCTCCTGAAGTGGTACTGTGAATAAATTGAATAAAACAGCAAAATAACAACAATAACATCTTCATTAAACAAAAAAGAGATGACCTTAGATAAAGTTTGATTAATATGTACATACAGTAGCCTACTGGTAAAAAGTCTGGATCTATTACTATTTTGAAAGAAGTGTCTTTTTATGCTCTACAAGCCTGGATTTATTTGATCAAAAATACAGAAAAAAAAAACAGGAATATTCAGCAAGGATGTGTTAAATATATAAAAAGTGATAGTGAAGACTTTTTTAAAACAACTTTTTAATAATCAAAAAATCCTGAAAAAAAGTATCACAGGTTATAAAATAAATATTAAGCACCATTTCTATAACATTTGATAATAAATCAGAATATTATGAAGTTTTCTGAAGGATCACGTGACACTAAATTCAGCTTTACATCACAGAAATATATTTTAAGGTATAGTAAAATAGGAAAACCATTATTTTAAATTTTAATAATATTTCACTAAATAGGTATTATTTTTCTGTATTTTTGATCAAATAAATCCAGGCTTGATGAGCATAAGAGACTTCTTTCAAAAACATTAAACATAGTAATGTGTCCAAACTTATGTACTGTGTAAGTAAAAATATACTACATTTAAAATTAAATGTATAAATTAAAAGGTTTGGAATCATATTTGTTTCAAGAGTTTTTTATTGGGGGTGGGGGGCCTCCAACATGAATATTGCCTAGGGCCTCCTAATGTCTAGAAAGTATTGCAAGTAGTTTATTTTAAAATTATTGAAATAAAAGGTGTTATTCCTATTAAAATTGAACCTCGTCTCTGGCTGAATTGTATACGTACCTGTGTGTCCTTAATTGTATCCATAACATTGTAATTAAGTAGTGTAAAATCATTCTCTGGGTGAAATTCCTAGGGTGGCGTGGTCGGTGTTTTTGGGGTAGACTATAACCTCCTCTGTTTTGTCTGCTCTCGTGCCGCCACACCTGCAAGCCAGAAAAGAAGTCGTCTTCATCGGATGAGCTGGACCTGTTGACCTCACCGGACTGCAACGAGGGGTCTTCAATGCGTCGTTTGATATAGTCCATTCCTGAAATATAAGAGTGTGTTATAAACAATAATAACCCATTTCAACCCATCGTGACCGTAACCACAGATTTGACATGATGGCATTGTCAGTAAGAGAATGATTTTAATGGAAATGACGACTTTATACTTTAAATAATTCCCTTAAAGGATAATTCCGGTATTTAACACTTTGAGTCTATTTAGTTTGTTTTGGATGAACTAGAGTGGTGGACTTAGAAATTTTGATGATGAGTCCTGTCTCGACTTTTTGACTATTTTAGAATCGCCTCTGAGCGCTTCAGAGTGGATGTCTATGGGCATGCTCAAACATGTCCTTAAAACAACCCTTAACGTTCGTTTTCAAAACTGTGCAACTCACACTCATTCCAAAGTGCATTGTACTTGCCAAATGTTGAGTAGTATAATTTCTTGCACGCGTCATTGGACACTGCCTTGCTGGCATCAGCACAACGCTGGTGCTTCGGGAGCTGGAACTCAAAACCATCATCCTCATCCAAAAGTGAAGATACTTTGACAAACTCTACCTCCTCCTCATCTTTGTCTGCTCTTCTTCCTCATCCTCTTCCTCCTGTACTTTTTTTCCATAAGCTTGTAATAATGTTTTTAATTCCAGTGGTACTGGTGGATTTCCGCAGGAAATTCGAGCATGTCTTTGCGTCATTACGTCACATCTGTACACATAAAGAAGAGTCTCGGCTAGTAGGCTATGTTGAGAGTGAGGATGTTGGAGGTGGAGATTTGTAGCCTTTTCTCACAGCACTTGATATAATTAAACTTTTCAATTTGATGGTGAATCCAGAAAGGTTCAAACGACAATCACCAGTGACAACTGGAGACTCACCCATTGTAAAATGCAAAAAACTTTGGACTGAGAGTTTGGAAAAAGAGACTGCAACTGGGCATGCGAAGACAAAGATAAATAACTGAAGGGCTTTAAATGTTGTCACGCAATGCTGATGTTATTAACATTAACCAGTGGTGGTAAGTAACGAAGTAAAAATACTTCGTTACTTAAGTATCTTTTTCGGGGATCTGTACTTTACTTGAGAATGTTTTATTTGCATCTACTTTCACTCTTACTCCACTACAATATTAAAGACAAAGTTTACTTTTTACTCCGATACATTTCCCCATGCCCGCTCCAAGTATTTATTACACTGGCTTTCCAAACCAATGAAAAACTTGGTTTTCTTTTGAAAAAAAAGAATGCACGAACTCTTTGCCAGTATACGCTCACATAGCAGTCAGTTCGCCATTGCGAAGTTGAAGATGACCGCAGAAACAGGTGAAGGTGCAGCTCTCGCTGCCAGCAATGATCCCGAGATTTCCGACAGGGATCACCCATGGCCATATCTCAATGATATGTTCGAATTCACTGAAGTCAAGGGAGATTCTTATCGGCTGAAATGTCTTCTTTGCCTGCCACGGGTGAATCAAATTTCAGCATTCAAAACTTCTCACTCAAATCTGAGAAAACATATTGAGGTGAGTTGACGTTAAAGCAACAATAAAGAATAAAGATTTTTTTTTTTTACCTTAAAATAATGTTTCCAAAATCGTTTCAGCAGTTCATCAAGTCTTAACAGGGTGAAAGGCACTTCTGCCTTCGCTTTGTGGTCCTATATCTGCTATAACCACACTATGTAAGTTTGCCAGATCGGGTCGCGTTTCTGTAGTTCGAATGAGACACAAGAAAACTACAAATTTGACTTGCTTTACGGCAAGCGTTACAATTGCACATCGTTCACTCTAAAGCCGGTGCTGGATAAACAGCGAGCATGCGTGCGACAGTAGGCTACGGTAGGCTAAATTATTTACGGCAGCGGTAACGGGCAATGCTGCTTCCAACCTGTAGGGGACCGCAGAGGAAAAGTTCTTTAGTGTTGCTTTAATGTTACTATTATTAGCCAAGTGATTTCATATTAAAATGTGCCTTGTAAACAGCTAGCTAACAAATTCTTAATTGCAGTATCTAATCTTATCATTTGTTCAAATAAAACATTGCATATCACTCCCAAAACAATTGATCTGCTTAATTATTGATATTTACAGT